AAAGAAATAACATTTTGAACAAAAAGCTGACAAAAGACTATGAATTGGATTCAGAATGATAATCAAAACGTAGATAGAGTCGATCAACACCCCAAAGCTTGACAGTTATTATTACCTCTTCATTGGTCGACATTTTATTCCATAATGTTACACAGTTTTGATGCTGTTTTATGTCTGGTGATCGTGTTAGAATACATGTGGAAGCGTCTGTTGTTTCGGTTTCTTCTTCACTTGTGTTTTTTGGAAATTCTCTACAGAAGATGTGTACTAGCGCACCCTACAGTATAACAATGAAAACACGGATTCTAGGAACACAAGTATAGCTCAAATATATTTAGACTTTTTCTAAGTATACGTCAAGTATACTTAAATGTCATTTTAAGTATATTTCTGAGAAGTACATAAAGCCCATTTCTGAGAAGTACATAAAAAGTAGACTAAAAGTATACTTTCCTATTTTTAGTTTAAAAGAAGTATACTAATAGCACACTTGAATAAACGTATTTTTCGTAAGGGTAGCCTATATTGTATCTTAAACTTGAAGCAAAGAAAAACAGCCCTATATGCTAGATGGGCGCTCGCGCCCTCTGTCGAGTCTCGCGCAAGTCACGGCGTTCTAAAATCGCGGCAAGTTCAAAGAAGTTCAACTTTTAAAAAAGCTTAGATCTTGCGTGTTTTCATGCTCCAAAGCTGAACGGTACAGTGACGGGCGCTTTAGAAACTCTGCTTCGTGAACCTTTGCGAGTCACTTGTTTCGAATCAGCGTGTATCAAACCAAATCAAACGGCCAGAGTTAAGTGGTTTCAGTAGAGGCTTCGTGTCTGTGGCTAAATGCAGCCTTCGAGATTTCAGTGGTTCGCCACTAGGATCATTTGTAGACATTTTAATGACACATAACAAAAATTAAGAATTGTAATACTCTCTAGCCAAAGCTAATCAACACAAAACAAGCCAGAAAAAAATAATAAAATAACACATGTATATTTAGCCTACATATTCATATTAATGGTATTAGATGGTTGGTTAATTGCATTTAATAGATTATGCTTTCGTTTAACATTTACATTTAATCATAATAAGAAGAGCAAATAGAAGCAATTCAGGCCAATAGGAGGGCAACAGTGTACAAGTGCTGTAACAAGAATCTCAGTTAGTCTAGCACTGTACACATACCAGAAAAAGAGACAGATAGAATAAGAAAATGTTAGCAATAAAACATGCTTTCAATAAAACATTTGCAGTTGGCTTGTAAAAGATGTTTCAATGCATGTTTGGTCTGAGTTTTTGTTGCATTGCGCTTGATGGATGCTGTAAGTTTATCACGTGACGTTAAATATGAAGGATCCACTATAAACAGTCACACAATACTGTCTTGAACAGAAGATTCAATAAGGATCACTTGAGATGGAGATACTGTGGTGTGTGTGTGTGTGTGTGTGTGTGTGTGTGTGCGCGCGCGCAGCTGCGTTCAAGATCAACATCAAAAACGCGTTGTGCATTTAGGTTTATTAAAAACTGTTACATTTAATTACTTTGAACAAAAATGATTGACAATCATTAAAAAACTTTATTTTAAAATATATTTGGTATCGAACAAATCAGTCCCAAGGTAAAGCTAGTCAGAAGGTACACAAAAAATGGC